TAAAGAAAATTTAAGATTTAGGTTCTCATGTATCGCTCATGTTGTCAGGGATAAAGATCCTAGGATGTGTCAGGCAAATATATTTACCTTTGACTATTGACTTTTTTTTTACTTTTTTTTTTCTTTTTTTTTCGCTTGACTAGGGATTTGAAATACTTTAAGATTTTCTGAATTTGGCACAGAAACAGCACCCATTGTGCTTACATGGCAACTGGAGCCCAAAGTTAAACATCTTGACTATTTTAAAATTAGACACCTCTCCAGGGATTCTGTAACTGCTTGGGACATTTCATGTTAAATTTTTGCCTCTAGAGTTAGACCAAGAAAACTCCAACCCACTGAGGTGACTGGGAAATGCCACAAAAGATAAAGAGGTCTTGCTCAAGACCCCATTGCTGGCTTTCATCACCAAATGCAAAATGAGCTGAGGAGGTAGAAGGAGGAGAGACCTGGCTTTCTGTTTGGGAAGGGAAAGAATTTGGGAAGAACTGAGTAGACAATGAGGGAATCCTACTGCTTAATAGGCCAGGTTACAGCTTCTCTGTCTTAGGAGCAGTGGAAATCTCTGAAATAACTGTGGGGCAAAGAGCTGTGTAGTGATGCTCTTAGGCCATTTCATTTTAGTTTTCTGTCAAAGCCCTCACTCATTGCCTCAGGCTCCTTCCCAGGGTAATGGATATAATCTTCAGCTATGATGTAAAGGGCTTGTGAGGATTAACACATTAAATTTTCAAGTGTTACAGTGGTTGAGGAACTGCTGTTGTGTTGAATATCAAGCCACCAGTGACTAGGATAATAGGCCTCTGAGCATGCCCACAGTGAACTGGTTGTTTCCTAAACCTGCGATCTCACAGGCAATGATGTATTCTGTGCTCTCCCTCCTGACTCCTGGATGTGTGATACATGAAACACCGAGCAGTCTTAGATTATTTATACTCTGATTTCAGACCTCTGTCTTCAGAAGCAGTTTCCCAGAAAATACATACTAAATAGACCCTTTGCTTACTTTTTCAGAAAGCAGAGGCATCACCTACATTTTTATGTAGCTTTTCTCAACACAAGGCAATAGCAGTCTTGGGGATTTATGCTGGCAGACTTGGCAGCCTTCTCATGTTTACATGTGTTGTAAGATCATCCAACTTGAAGCTCCATTCCTTATTAGTTACAAATTAAGCTGCTATCTGAAAAGGCATAGATATGTTGAAATTATTGTTACTGAAATTTACTATGGCTTGGTAGAGTCATGGTCTGGAATAACTCACAACAATCTCTAACGTACATGACAGCAGAACTGAGTGTACTCCCTCCATCATTCTAGCCAGAGATAAACTGGTCAGGGTTATTCACGCCTTTGTCACTTTTCAGCTGGATGAAGTGGCAGGAAGGCTGTAAAGCTTAAGAAACCCTAGGTGATACAGCCCACTGCAGACACCCACTGGCTATGGCATACAAATCTTTCCCTGCCTACCATGCCTAACCAGCAAATAGCACATAAAGTGCAAAGTCCTCCCGCCTGCTTTGAAGTCTTCAATGCATGAAGTGTGGAAAAACAAGTCAGTCTCTAGCATGAAGGCAAGGGTTGAGAGGATTTCTTTAGGCAAAGAATTCAAGAGAGGTAAAACTCTTTTGTGTTAGAAGCAGAAGTTTTTCCTGGGAATTTGTCTGTAAATGGATTTACAGGGTGAATAAAGATCATGAGGAATAGCAACTCTCTTCCATATGACACACAAAACTCTTGCCTATGCTACCAAGGGTAGGTTCAGACTCCAAACTCCTCAGCACACACACTGAGATGACCAGAAGCACAGTAGTCTCAGATGCCAGTCAGCCACTGTAGTGTGGCACTATGGCCAGCCACCATGTCCTGCTGAGAGGCTGTCTTCAGAAAGCATAACGACATGGGCTTTCTGCATGTGTCATTCTTGGACTTGATGATCTTGAAGGTCTTTTCCAACCTAGATGATCCTATAATTCTATGATAATGCGGTGGTTTTACTCAGCTGGGCAGCCGAGCTCTACCACAACTGCTGTCTAACTCTCCCTATTCTAAGGGAAAGGGGGAGAAAATACAATGAAAAGGGCTCGAGCCTTGAGATAAGGATAGGGAAATCACTCACCAATTATTGTCACAGGCAAAATAGTCTCAGCATAGGGAGATTAATATAATTTATTACCTAGCACTAACTAGCTAGAGAAGTGAGAAAATAAAGACAAACTAAAAATACCTTCCCTCACCCCACCCTCATTTACTTCCTTTGGCACAGGGGAACAGGGAATGGGGGCTGTAGTCAGACCCTGACATTTCATCTCCACCACTCCCTCATGGTCCCTCTCTGCCCCTGCTCCCCATGGGGTCCCTCCCACGGGATGCCGTCCTTCCCGAACTGAGCCTGCGGAGGCTTCCCACAGGCAGCAGCTCTTCAGGAACTGCTCCCACACGGCTCCATCCCACAGGGTTCTTCCCCCAGTAGCAAACTGCTCCAGCACCTGTCCCCCACAGGCGGCATCTCCCCCCAGACCTCTTGTTCATGCATGGGCTCCTCTCCATGGGCTGCAGCTCCAGCCCGGGGCCTGCTCCTATGGGGGCTCTCCATGGGCCGCAGCCTCCTCCAGGCCACATCCACCTGCTCCACCGGGGGCTCCTCCACCCATGGGGGGGCTGCAGCGTGGAGATCTGCTCCATGTGGGACCCATGGGCTGCAGGGGGACAGCCTGCTCCACCAGGGGCCTCTCCATAGGCTGCAGGGGAACTGCTGCTGCATGCCTGGAGCACCTCCTGCCCTCCTGCTGCACTCACCTTGTAGGAATTTCTCCCATTTCTCACTCCTCTCTCCCAGCTGCTGTTGCACAGCAGTTTTGCTTTGTTTTGTTCTGCTTTTTTCCTTTTCTTAAATCTGCTCTCCCAGAAGCACAAACAACATCGTTTAGGGGCTCAGTTTTGGCCAGCAGCGGGTCCCTTTGGAGCTGTCTAAATCTGGCCCTTATCTAACATGGGGCAGCTCTTTGCACGGAGGTCACATTTGCAGCCCCCCACTACCAAAACCTTGCCATGTAAACCCAATACAGATTCTTAACGAAAATTACTAATGCACATCGCCCTTTGCCTAAAGGGCGAATATGTGAGGGAAAACTGTTTGTGGATATTAGTACTTTTTTCACATGTAGTACTGCAAAGATGTTTTAATACTGCAGAAATAAGTCTAGTGTTCAGATCCCTGCATTAGATAGGATAGGACAAGGAAGTAAACACTACTCATACCTATGCCTTCTTTGACAGAGTATACTCTGGGCTTGCATCTGAATGATTTTTGCAAAGCAGCTGATTTGGGTGCAGCAGTAAGTCGATAATAAAACCGTAAAAAGTGAAGGGTCCAGCTCACTGCTGCTTTATGCCTTGCAGGTAATCATCTGCCTCTCTGCAGGGTGTGTGAGGAATTGTCCCAAAGCAGAGCTGTAACTTCTAGCACTCACTTTTCTTCAGGTATAAATTACTGTGCAAAATGCAATGCAGTGGAGAAACAAGCCCAATGGAGTTGTTTAGTTGTAAAACTGGTCCAAGAGAGGTCTGACTCAAGCCATACAGATTTAAATCACTAGAAGGAAAGGGTTATGAACATTAAAAAACTTTGCAAATGAATGGTGCACAAAATCTCATCTTCCATAAGGTTTACTTATCCTTTACCCTTAAGTAATCGATTTTATTATTCCTGATAATAATCCCTCCCTGATAAAGGGAGCTGGGCTTGTAGACAGGAAAAAGGAAATAAAAAAAGGGAAGAGTAACATAATTGTTTTCATGTCCTCTTTTCTGAAGAAAATTATTTATTTTTTTCTTGACTGAAAACAATGGAAAGTCTAGAAAAATCAGAAGTTTTTCTGTTGTTGGTTGTTGTTGTTTTTTCCTACACCAAATCTTACACTATAATTGGAGAAAAGCTAAATTAGCAACTTTTCATTAATGAGATCTATGGTTGCATTTTAATAGGTTGGCTAAATTATGCTTCATGAATGGAATACTAAATTTGCCGACAACAAAGCAAAACAACTTTGCTTTCAGAGACTTGTGTGTTCAAAGGTCATCGATCTTTTTAACTGTATTTCCTTTGTGCTGTGTCTTCAGAGATGGATAACACCGGCGTTGGGAGTGGGGGTAGGAGCCAAACATTCTTGTCAAATTTATAAAATTTGGGGATAATATATATTTTACTGAAGGTGACTTCTTTCTCCTTGAACTAAGAGATTTAATTTTCTCAAAATCCGTCAGATACTGGTGGATCTTAGAAGCAACCAGAGGCAATGTCTGGTCTGATATTTTTTAAAATCAATGCAAAAAGAAAAAGGAAAAAAAAAAGTTTAATAAGCACTCTTTAAAAACTAATCTCTTCACTTTGGTTGCTGCTCAAGACAAGATAGTCTTAGGTTATTGAACAAAATGCAGAGAGTTAGAGATGAAGTAAAATACCAGTGAAGTAAAATGTTATATTTCTCCTACTTTGTATTTACTAGCAGGTTGGAAGTTGTGCATACTTGGTTACTTTCCAACGTCTAAGAGCATCAAATGATTATTGCATTATTTGCCCCTTCCACATTTAATTATTATTGTGTGGATCAGGTAGCAGAGTCATGCCAGTTCTCCGTGAACAGTAAACACCTTCAGGCACAGCAATTTTTCCAGCGTGTCTTTAGTCAAATGATCACTCTTCTTTTCCCTCTATGGTATGCCTAACATATCTGGGGGCTGTTCCTCAGACAGTGGCTACATTTCATGGTGTTGCATGTAGCTGGTAGGCATTTGGGAAACATTTTGAAATTACGGCCATCTCTTTGTAGATTATCACTATCACTGTTTCTGTTTTTATTTTTATTATTATTATTATTATTTATTTATTTGTTTGTTTTTAAATAGATTCCCTTGCTACTGCATGATATTTTTAATAGTCATTTTCTCTCATATTTTTGTGCTCATATCCCCTTCAAAGCATGGAAAATTGGCCTTTTTTGATGCCAGAGATTGTTTAAATAGGGGATAGGGTTTGTAGACACAAACATGTTCTTTCTCTTTGATTCACTTTTTGCTTTAAAAATTGTTCTGAGAATAACAGCAGTACTTCATAGTGTTGTTTGTTGGTGGTGGTGGTTGTTTGTTTGTTCGTTTGTTTTGTTTTGGCTGGGATATCCCAAACAGCCTATTTATTCAGAGTGAGAAGCTCAATCATTCCGTGACTATATCGAGATCCTTCTAAAAAAATTTGTATTTTTCAGACTTGTAGAATAGCCACTTGTAGAGCAACCCTATAGCCAGGGTCCCATGCTTTGGGTTTCAGACATTGTCAATGTTTGCTTTCCCAGAGAGCTGTCAGTTCTGTAATAACAACTGTAAAGAAAGAGGTGGATGGATCAGAGGGTTTTCTCATGCTTCCAGTAAAAATGCCTCAGTCACAAAAGTAAAGGAATACAGTAAACGTTACATCAGTCTGTATTTTATATTTTGACCTGTTTTTCTTTCTTGCAGCTATTAAAATGAGATTCTTACCCCTGTGAACCCTACCTATATTAGATATATATTTTAAATGTCCTTTGTTTTGCCTTTTTTGTTTACTTTATTAAAATTTTCCCAGGCATTACAAATTCTCTTGGCTAGCTCTCCCCAAAAAACATAAGCTCATTTTGTTCTGTCCTCCCATCATCCAGCCTTATATTCCCAACTGATTTTAATTACTTATCTTGCCTCTTCTGTCAGCCCTTCTCCCCATTATAGATAGGAATTACACTGGTGACTTTATACAAGAGTAGTAATGTACACTTGTGGCAGGAATGACTAGTTTGTTCTGCTAATTCAACAGCTGCAAGTGTCTGGGCACATCTACACAATGAGCAGTAACACTTTTGGCATGGGGAGAAGACAAAATTCAGAGTATGGTACATGCTGTAGTCTTATTCACCCTTGCTTCTGCCTTTCCACACAGGTATAGTATAGTAGGTGACACAGTATGTGGCATTAATTCTGCTAGCTTAGGGTTGCATTAAGAGAGTCTTTCTTTTCTTCTTTGGTGATCAGAAAACACAGAGGGTGGTCTAATCTGATCTAATCTATTCTTTCAGCAGCTGCCATTGTAGCTTTCTTGTCATTCTCTGTATGCTTTCAAAACCTTTACATATGATCAGTTCTCCATATGACCATACAAAATATCAAAAAGCTCCAAAGGATGTGTTATGTCAGAAAAGGTGATACACATCTGTTCAAACAGAAATATCTACAAGGTAATTGTCTACCTGTGAGCAAGTCATCTAGTTGATGTAGCTGAAGAAAAGCAGGCAAGAGGTGATTCATCCTGTAAAATAGAAAGCTAAAACAGATCAGATGATTCATGTCTTGAGGGTGCTTATTTCTTTTCATCAACTCTAATTGGAGCTAGTTCAGACAGAGGTTTCTACATTGCAAACATTTAAAGCCAGGTGAAAGAGTTCTTCCAAAGGCATTTTATATAGAAATGGACTTTCACCTTATCGTTGACTAATTAACTATATTTTAAATAAGGATCCTCTGGTGCTGATAGGTTGATAAAATTTTGGTCATCTAACTAACTGATAAACACAAATAAGATCTTTGCTTGTTATGAGAATAAATTTATATTGAATATCATAGAACATCACCATAGAATGACCTGGGTTAGAGATGAACTTAAAGATCATCTAGTTCCAACTCTGGTGCTATGGGCAGGGATGCCACACACTACATAGATAGCCCAGGGACCCATCCACATTTCCATGATATCAATTAGGTCATAATTTTTAATTGCGCTGTGGTTTCCAGCTGCATGCATTGGTGTAGAAGCAATTCAGCTGTGCTGTTGGCCACATTACCTTTTTAGAGAAGCCCTCCCTCAGTCCTCTGGGACAATTCACAGGTATTTATTTCCCTGTTGTTTCATAAAGTGTCAGTGTTCCCTGGTTCTTCTCCATCACTCAGAAGTACATCCCCTTTCCCTGTTGAATCTAGTTTAAAGCTCTGATAACAATTTGAGTCAGCGTGCTGCCCAGAACATTCTTGCCCCACCTGATCAGGTGTGCCCCATCTGGTGTCAACATGCACAGTCAATTAAAGGTCTGTCTGAGATCACAGAACCCTAAACCCTGAGTGTGGCATAAGTCATGCTGCCAATCACTCACCTGATCCATTTTTCTCCTTCTTCTTGGGTCCCAGTCTCCAACTGAGAGAACAGAGGAGAACATTAGCTGCACTCTCAATCCCTCTTTTCAAGGGAAAATATTTTAATATTTCAGAGTCTCCTCATTGCAGCCTCATTTGACCCTCCATGAAAGAGTAGGAATGGGACAGAACCTCACAGTTTCTGACTAATCAGCCTGCCGCGAGTTTGAAGCATCCAGTAGCCCAAAGTCTGATGATTAGTTCTCCTCTTCAGCAGAAGTAGATATTCCTTTACAGTAAGTATGTAGTAGCTGATTATTTCATTTGCACACTTATTGCACTTTTATCATGCACGTGTTTGCATTCACACTTGTGCCCATCCTTTTTCAAGTCTACATCAGTCAAATTTCAAGACTCCTGTTTTAACTGTTTTTTCCAGGTAGTTTTACCTCTCATTATTACCTGTATCAAAATTCTCACTATTTCTTCACATACAATAAAATATAATCAAATTTGTAACTTCCCTTCTCCATTTCCAGGATTCCCATCAACTGATAATGAGTTAACTACAGTGTGCTTTCTGCACCAGAGAGGTTAGGGGCTTTTCTTGAGTTTCCTGCTGAAAGAGAATGGGCTGGTGAAACAGTCTATTGCATGCCCTTCTCTAATTTGTTCTCATTTCCTAAAATAACCGCCCTTCTTGAAGGACACAAGTGAACTTGTGTTACAGTTAGAAGGCATATTTGGTGAAACGGCTTGTGATTTAGGCCCTCCTAGAGTACTTTGAAGTGCAAATGCTGTGATAAGACACCATATCTCAATGAAACTTCCATAGGAAAAGTATTAGGATCCCTCCAAGGGCAGCTCAACAATAAGACCATTAAACCTAAAGTAATACAACTAGGTCATGGGGAATAAGGTCAGAGATGCAAGGCTTTTGTATTGTACAATGAATGTGAATGAGAGCTGAGCCACTGAAGAAGTAGTAATAAAAAACATGTTATCAGAACTAGTTTGTTACACAAACAGGCTGACACATCTCAGGGGTCAGCGTGGGTATTTCAAGCATGAAGACTTGCTGAATGGACAGTACACTGATGATAAAATACAAGATTGCAAATTATACATAATGATGGCTGTATAGTGTGTGCTCTCTTTATATATGTTTGGTGTTCTCAGTATGGAAGATCTGCGGAGACACATACCCACATCATCGTTACATAAGGAAAAGAATACGGTAGAAAAAAATAAAACAAGCCCTCCTGCTGTCATTGTAAGCTATAAAATGCAGTGACAACTATGTATTTTCTCTACAAGACAAGGGTCTTCCTTCCAAGTAGCATGGAGGCAGATGAGGAGATGGAAGGGATAGAGAAGCAGATCGTGTTCTTGTTAGTTTAATGATTTATGTCTGGGTTTGTTTGTCTTTGGTGTGATTAATTACTTCCAATTATGTGCTGCCACAAAGTCTGCTCTGTACAGAAAGGATGCATCCTTGTGGGTGGGATCTCTTAATCTGTGGATGAATCAACCCTGAAAATGTCCCAGTGATCTTATGTCTGACACATTTTTACTTTTATAAGACAGAAATTAAATCACAGGAAGCAATCTGGGAAAAAGAGAGACAAACGAGCACAGCCAAATTTTTATTTTATTTTTTCAGTATCTTCTGAGTGTGCTCCTTATTCTTGCACACCTTGCCACACTCACAATTCTCTGTTATGGCTATTGCATGTGCCAAAAAAAAAATAAATAAAATAAAAATTGCCCTTTATTTAGACTCCAGATAACAAACATGGGAAAGAAAAGCAGCAGCTGACTGTATGGACAGCTGCTGTAGGCTGGGCTTGAACCAGACCTCACACAAGCTCTGCTGTCCCCTTCCCTACAGCATGTGGGACGACCTGTTACTGCTGAACTCTGGAGTCTGGGTGACACCAGTCAAGTCTGGGAAGTCAAGTGAAAAACATGCCATCCTTCCATGAGTGGTGTGGATGGCATTTCTACTCACACAGTGAGATCAGATAAGTGTCATGCTGGGTTTTGTTTCTCAGGTGGACAGGAAGGAATTATTGGTGATATTCCCAAGTGATTTCTTTTTAATCAGCAATTTGTGGCCCGGTGGGTGTCAAGAGATGGGTTTGCAAAACTGCTACTTTATTTCTCACACAGTGCTGAGGAAGGAGAGGAAACAGACTGATATAGCTGAGCTCATTCTGCTCTTTACTAGGACCGACTGTGTTCAGAGATGTGATGAAGACTGAGCCTTGTTGCAGGTCACTTTTGCTTTGTTTCTTCTGGAATTTTCTCAGTATTTCATTGTTGCTGCTGGCTTTTCCTTTGACCTACATTTATTTTTGCTTTTGCCCTTCTGCTAGGCATGTAGCAATGCTTCCCTGGATGCTTTGTCTCCCTCAACAACCCAACCTTCCCTCAAGGTCCTGTTCATTCTCTTGTGTTTTATCAGATAATATTAACCATATAAATTCACCATGAATTGGGGATTTTCCTTTTTCTTTATATCAGAGATGTACACCTGTCATATAACAGGATTGTATGGCAGGTCTGATAAGGAGACAAGAATTTCTCTGTTTCACTCCCAGATGCATTAAAGGCCAAATCCTGACTCTGGTTGAAAGTTGCTTGAATGTAACTCAGGGTAAAAGTTAGCCTGCAGTATAACCTTCCTGTCAGAGCCAACAATTTACTGTCTAGTTTGTGGATAGCATGAAATTAAGCAGAACCACTATCCCAAACTGTAATAAAATCTATTGACATCCAAACTATGTATTATGCATATGTAGTCTATTATCCTGAGGCAAAAATGCACAGAGGTTTGACAGCAATCTAATGAAGGAATGCAAAAGAAATAGGATTTAAGTAAAAATCTGCAAAAGGACAGAAAAGGTACCTGATAGCCAAAGGGCTAGTTCTGTTTAAGATCTGTTTCAAGAAAATGTGAGTCTTGGAGCAGGGAGAGGAGTTATGAGCATGACGAGGAAGATTCAGGGGAAATGAATACGGGTGATCGGGGAGGTCTTAAGGATGAAGAGGTGCTGATGGTGGAGCAGCCAGAGCACTGAATGAGTTTCTGTGATGACATGCCGGGGTGGAGAGAAGCAAGAAATCCATGATTTTCAGCGGGGCCAGAGATGAAATGCCTGAAGGGGATCAGTGTTCCTGATGAGTAGGACAGGGCTCCTCCACTGGTTCAAGGGAAGTCTGCTTGGTAATTTCAGCAGCTCTGCCCAGCAGGAAACATTGCAGCAGTTTCTGCTTTGCCAGCCAGCTGGGCACTGAGTTGACACAACGAGTACATTAAAGAGTACAAACAGTAACAGACTAGACAATGAGAGACTAACCAGCTCCCACAGGAATGAGGGCAGAAACAAATATCAAGACCTGGTAGATCTGTAATTGCAGTCTCTCTCCAGACTGAGGCCTGCCAAGACTCTTAGCAGTAGCATAGATGAAAAAGTGTTGAGATCCTATCCTTCAGAGAAAAGGCTAACTGTCTCAAGGATTTTTTTTTCCTGCTTTTCTTTAACACAGCTCTTGCTAATCATTTTTTTTTTTTTTCTGTATAACTTACATATTTAAAAGTTAGCAGTCATCAACATTACCATCGTTAATCTAAAATGTGTCAACATGCTGAATCCTACTGGGATTTTACAATTTATTTTTAATGTGTAAATTGTCTTCAAGAATTAAGTGTACTATGATGTTCATAAAAAGCATATTCTCGCTATCACTGGAGAAATAGAGCTAAATAATAAATTAAAGCCTTTCTGCAAAAGCATTAATTCTTTGCATACATTTGTTTTTAAAGCTCCCTTGTTTGTGAGCAGTGATAAAAAATATTCTGCACATTTTTTTTTTTTTTTTGCTAGTAATATGAGAAAAGTATAATAGGAAAGTAAAATTAAATTATATGTCATTATTGATGACAACCTGAATAAAACATGGAGAGAGCATTATCAGGCTTCAAGAACTTCTGGCACCTCGACAACAAACAGAACAAATCTATATACACTTAAAAGCTCCCACACATTAAAGTACCCCAAAATAATCATCTCTCTTTTCTTGAGCTGCAAACTAGATGAACTAGCAGTGAAGAAAAGGAAAGCACTTCCTCTTGAATTTTTCATAAGAGCTGTGTTTCAAAAGAAGCATATCACACAGATTTCATTACCTCATTACCTCATTTTATACCAGGGCACACCCCAATGCTGCCCTTAAAAACTAAGAAACCTGTCTGGGAAAAAGACTCCCTGGGCTCCCACGCTCACAAGTAGACTTCGTCAAAACTGATCTAGATCAGCAGCATACAACTCACGAGGACATGACATTCTTGCTGACATACGTTCTCTTGTCTTCTGAGAACATACAAATGATGCAACGTCCCATAGTGCTAAAAGTTATATAGCGCTCCTTGAGCCATCCAAGGAGCTGAAAACCCTGATGTGGGCCTTAATATTCCCTTTCCCTTTCCCTTTCCCTTTCCCTTTCCCTTTCCCTTTCCCTTTCCCTTTCCCTTTCCCTTTCCCTTTCCCTTTCCCTTTCCCTTTTCCCTTTTCCCTTTTCCCTTTCCCTTTCCCTTTCCCTTTCCCTTTCCCTTTCCCTTTCCCTTTCCCTTGGGTACCTAGCAGAGTAACCAAGGGGTCAATACCAGGCCCAGTCCTGTGTAACATCTCCTTTAATGATCTGAATGATAGGGCAGAGTGTGCCCTCAGGAAGTCTGCAGATGACACAAAACTGGCAGCAGTGGCTGATAAGCCAGAGGGCTGCCATGCTGCTATCCAGATGGACC